AGGAGTCTGTATGAAGACCATAGATAAAGGGGCTGCTTCCCTCAGTGGGGGCAGAGACAGACACAGACAGACACTGAACCGGCCGTGTGAAATATCTTTCCGTAACATCTTCATTCTGTCTTACTAAACTGCTTAAGGATAAGGAACCTGACTCATCATTCATGCAAAAGAACCTGAGGTTTCACTGAAGAAATCTATCACCATCTTATCCAGCAGAAAGGGAAAAAAAATCAAGGGAGGGAAGAGGCTGAATTTTCATTCTGGAAAAACCACAAGCAGCACCAAGGGAAGGTCAATTGTCCGTCTTTGAAGCTAAGACTTCTGGTAATTTGGGGAAGCGCTTGGCACTCATTTGTCAGAATGTATCGTTGCTGAGTTAGCTTGCCATGCTCTGAAAGGGGATACGAGTCTCTGAGTTTAGCAGAGAGCTGCACGGACTGTGGGTCGTTATTATAGGTCACTACAAGGAAAAGGGGTATCAGTAATTGCTCATTATCCGAAAACTGCCTTCAACACCCAGCATACGGCGGCGTCCTGCCGTCTCGCGTCTGATTCGTCAGACCTGGGTAGATTCTGCTGAGTGCAGAGAGTTGCGCTCTTAGACGGGTAATTTGATGGGGTGATGGTTTTCACCTCTTTCTTCCTTGGGCTGTGTGTATCGTTGAGAAATCATTGTTTTTTAGTTCATTATATTCATACTTTGCTCTCAGATTGCCTGCTGCTTGGTAATTTCTCTATTAAATGGGCTAATGCTTTTTGTCTTGGGGGAGAATGCTGGATTGAACTGCAACTGTCAGCACTGGTTTGTGGGACCTTGAAGGGACAGTAGAGGGTATGACAGGATTGTCGGATTGATATAAGAGATCCTCTATAAAAAAACACCACGAGGCACAAATATATAAAATTAAAGGATAAATATTTAGCAGTCTGCATTTTTCTCATTTTATTAGTCTTCAAAGGTAAACATGTGAAAGCATGCTTGGATATCAGCTCTAAAATTCACACCAATGTTCAAAACTCCAGTGGGGAGGGAGAGGGTGTAATTAAAAGAGTCACATGAGAGAGAGATTAACTGCACAGCGGAGGGAGGGGTCCAGCTTTTCCCAGAGGCCTCTGGGTAGAGGCGATAGCACGGTTGCCTTTAACTGGAATGATTCAGACTTTAGGCACTGTGATTGCTGGTCTCTTTTACAGGGACACTCCACATAAATCATCGGGGGGGGGGTCCCTGTCATCGGTCATCTTCAGACCCTGTCGTCTGTAAGCGGGTACAAAGATCGCGGACCACACACCCAGGTGGCAGGTTGCTGGTGCTGCTGTTGGCATAATGCCCCTGGACCCCAATTAAAAGGGGGGGGGGGACGGGGGACGACTTACGATGGGACTTTAGTTTGGAACAAGATATGAGGAATCTGCAACAGGGTGTTGGATCAGCTGTGTTTACTGAAGGGGGGCAAACCTCATTTTAACACTCATCTGGACTAAAGAACAGGTAGCCTGAAAGAGTGTACACTGACTTCACCCCCCCTCCAGGACATTCACAGCACCCGTCCCCCCCCCCAGGGCGCCCAAGGTCACGTCACTCTCTCTATCTGTTAGAATATGAACAGAAGATTATCCATCAAACTTTATACATCGAGCCTCCAAAGTCAGAACTGCTTTGCGCCGTTAGACGTGCAAAATTTAAATGCCAAGATCCAATGGGCGCCATCTTTTCAGGGGTGTCATAGTGAAAAATACTGCCTTAGGCGTTATGCTTCGTAACCCCGCCAAGGAATGGGCGCGGTGACAGTGAGTGGATAAGCGATGGCCTACGATGGATGGATGAGATGAATTCTGCCACTGAGTGATGAATATCAAGGGACAGACCCTTCTCCTCTGTCTCCCTCAATAAGGGAGGAGTTCATCACTTACTGATCACGCCTTAACACTCTAAGATGCATTTTAAACGGGGGAAATTCATTTTGCATGGGATGCGTTTTCATTGACCTCTATAGTATATTCTGTCGCGGAAGCAGGCTTGGGGCAGTGAAAGCATCTTTTCTGGGGGCGGGTGTGCATACCCTGTGTTTTTAGACATCTTTGGTCAAAGAGTTCTGTGTTTCCAGGTAACATATGAAAGTGTGAAACAGTCTGATTGCTGTTGTTCTTTGGCTGCACAGGTGACATTGTGCTTAAGTCAGCATTACACTGTTACTTGTTGACACATCTGAGGATCTTAAGGAAGGAGTTGAGTGTAACTGGTCACCAGCCACAGAAAACCGTTTTCTACCGGAAGCTGATGTCTGCAAACTGAGGCATTTGTTTGACAGTGTGGTGATTTGTATGGATTGTCAACCTGCGCCTACAAAGATAAACGTGTCCCTTGACAAATGTTTTGCTTGAGGGAAAAGAACTACAGTATGTAGTCTAAACTTCTAAATATTATGTCTGCTGTAAAAATGAATTAGATCAAAATGTCTATCAGAATTGACCATGATGACGACCCCTGGTGATTTGACATGTTTTGTCTAGAGGATTCAGAACTGAAACAGCATGTAACAGCGTTTGCCTGTTCTATGCACACAAATACACAGGTACAGACTGATACTTTTGCTTACTTGTTTGGCACTCAAACTCTTGGCATGTCTATAGACGAAATATAGTTTATTGTTGGTGGTTTATTTCAGGTGGTCAACTGGAATATGGGTTTTGAGATTGAGGAAGTGGGTATATTTTAAGGTTTCAACTTACCATTCTCTGAGGAGCAGGAGGGCAGGGTCACTAGTTAAAGGACCCGAGCCCAGGCGGCTACTGGGTAATGTAGTTTGGGGGGGCAGTTCAATAGTAATGGGATTTTGTATTAAGGTATTTATTATTAAGTGAGTTTATTATGATTATGATAAAAGTACGTGCATCTGATCCTGTCTTGTGAGGCCTCAGGTTTGCTCAGTGGCCCATGGGCCGGAACCCAACACAGCAGAAGTCTCAGAGCTTCTCCAACGAGGCCTGAAGTCCCATTTCCTGCTCTGCTTTCCTGTCCAGCTGTCACCGGTGAGTCGGGTCAAAGGTGGAAGAGCGATACAGACTCTTGAGACACCGGTGGTGCCGTTTAGGGCCAGGGGCTTTAAAAATGCATTAGGCCTTTCCCTTGTGCATTAGTCCTTTCCCCTATGCCTGCACTTTCTAAACTAGATAATTCTCCCCCTGAACGAGTGAAAAATGACTTTGGAGCAAAGGCTGGGAGTGGCTCTTCCCAGAGGGGGACGTGAGAAATGAGGCCCGGTTCTGTGAGCCGTGAGAAACAGGGCCCCTCTGATGGCCCAGTACTGATGGTGACTGAGCCCGGGCGTGTTTTGGTCTCGGCAGTGAACGCGATGGGGTGCGAGAAGCGGCGTCTAACCTTCTGGGGGCCGTCTGGAGATGAAGTCGCAGTGTTATTAGCGTTTAACGACTCCCTGCTCTCTGCTCTCGTTTATTTTCCAGAGAAGGTGCAAGCTCACCGGCCGTATGCGCAGGGACAGGAGATGTGAGCCGGGTAACCGTACACACTGGCTGCATGACAGTCCGGCAGCCCCATGTTGGGGCCCAGCAACCTGGGCTCTGGCAGCTGGGGAGGAGGCATGGCATATGATATGGGGATAATCACACCCTGTATCGATATAATATGGGACGGTCCTGTATTATCCGGGATGGGTAGCAATTCTCCAACAGCCCCCAGATCCCTTTTCTTCCCACCCCAAGCCTGAACCGTATTGACTCAGCATTGCATCCTAACCTGAGCCTACAGCCTTATCTAAATGCGGCTTTATTTCTGATTCCACCAATTATGAGGGAAATAGACTCAGTGTTTGTATGATCAGCACGGGGTAATTCCACATCACCGCCTGCAGCCAGAGCGAATATTACTTAAGCAAAGACCTCTGCTGTGATTCTCAAGGCTAATGTGTATTAATGAATGCAATACTACCTTTTTACCTCATTTTACTAAAATAATGCAATGTCAAATTCTAAAATTAAATGCTTTAACAACGGCATGCTTTAGGTTAATATGGAGCATTTTTGTTTCTAATGGAAAATAGCTGATTCCTAGCGGCTGGTTTCCAAAATAAATAAATAATGTTGCTAAATTTGAAATGATTTTTAAATTGCCTTTATAATTAGTGATTTGAGAACACAGAGGTGGAATTGAGTTGACCCAAAACCGTGCACTTCGACATCAAAAAATAGAGATGCATCAAAAACGAACCAGTAGAATGGCCAACAGAACAGGGGTTTGTGGATGTACACTGCCCTCTTGTGGAAGTACTGTATAATTGCATGGGGTCGCTTTTCAGTATACATTTGTCTGCTACTGAAATAAGGTACAACTTGAGCAGTGGGCAACTGATTTCGCCGAGATTTTTGTTTGTATTGAGGCCAAAAATGCTTGATTTTACAGTGTTTACTCAGCATTTACGTCATGTGCTTTTTTGGGGGAAATAAATTAGATACTAGGGGTGTAACAATACATCGATTTGTATCGATATATCGATTCAACGGCAAACGATCCGATGCATCGATGTGACCGCATAAATATCGATACGTGCGTTTTTATTTTCTGGCCTGTTCCAGTATTGTTTTCATGATCCACTCCGACGTATACATGGTCTACACCAGGGGTGCCCAATACGTCGATCGCGATCTACTGGTGGATCGCAAAGGTAGTGTGGGTAGATCATATGGCATAAAAAATAGAGGATGGATGACGCGTTCAACCGCGCCAGCTGCTTCAAGCTACCGAGTCGCCTGTTAGCCTCCAATTTATTTCTACTAAACTTAAGAAAGGGTATAAAAATTAATGGGGGAGCTGGACCAAGTAAGAAGCCAAAAACCTACCACTTCCATACAGGGGTGCGTTTCTCGAAACCATCGTTGCTACCTACGTTAGCAACTTGCGTGGTTCAAACTATGTAAGTACGACGCAGGTGTTTCTCGAAACCATAGTTCAAACTACATAGGTAACGATACTGCGGACTTACGTGGTGCGATGTATCGTTGAACGACGTAGGTGTTTCTCGAAACCATAGTTCGAACGAACGTTCGCAAACACTGTCGTTAAGTTGTGTAGTTCGAACTACAGCTCACGAGCTGTAGTTAGAAGCGTAGTTATATGTAAATTCGTCAGCGATGGTGGAAAATACAGTGCAATAAGGGTATAGTCACCGTGTAAGTAAGAAATTTAATAATCTTTAATACCTAATAAGAAATAATTTAGCTCTACGATCACATATAATGTGAAGTTGTCTGAAAATGTAGTTTGAAACGTAATTGTTGTGTGGGTCTCTGGTCATAAGTACGGTAACTGTCTGTAGTGAGCAAATCTCAGACTGCAAAGTATTAATTAGCACAGGGGTGGGTAATGTTAGCAGAATGACACTACAGCGGCCAGATACGAATCCATGCCTTTGTTCTCGGGAAATTACGTCTGTAATGTTTGGTTATTACACACACCTGTGTATTCCAGTCAGCCAGTATAACAATATTCTGTAAGCGACAACGTCGGAATAAAAGTTATTCTGTTTATCACTCCAAGGAGCGTCGCATTATTTTTCCGCGATTGCTAATTTTCATTTTATTGGCGTTATGTGACTGACAGAAATTGATGTCACAAATAAATATACATGTGTGTGTGTGTGTGTGATTATTATATATTTTACACAGTTCGCGAGTGTTTGTACGCGACCGGCTGTGAAAGTGCGTTGTTAGTTGTTGCGCACGACTTGCCGTGAGTCTGACCAATCAGCGCTGGAACCACTGTAGTTCCAACTACATAAGTCCTAACTAACTAACGTGGTTCGAACAACTGTGGTACGACGGTTTCGAGAAACAGTCGTTGGTCGGATGTTGGTTAGTTTGAACTACCATAGTACGATGCATCGTTAATGCTAACTTCCGTCGTTGTTCGAGAAACGCACCCCAGAATGGGAGGAGCATTGTTTTTTTTTACCATGTCATATTCGAAGTGCATTTGCCTCATCTGTCAGTCTACCATGGCTATTCCGAAGAAGGGAAATGTGGAGCGGCATTTTCGGACTGTTCATAAAAACTACGACATTAACTTCCCTCCGAAAAGCGAGCTGAGAAATAGAAAGGTGAAGGAACTAAAATCCCAGTTCAATTCAGAAATACTTTATTCATCCCAAAGGGAAATTATAATAATAATAGTAATAATAAAAAATCATATTAAAGAATACTCAATATTTTTATACATAAATATATGTTTTGCATTTTTATAGTAGGTAGATCATTTTGACTTGATCATTTGTAGCTCGCAAGCTAGCGTACCTTCAGAGCGTGTGTTTAGTACGGCAGGTGACATAGGACGCTATATGCTCAGAGCACACATCGTTGACCATTAAATTTTGTTTAAAGTTCCCAATAAAATATGATAAAATGCTAATTGTATTAGCCTTCTTTAATTCGTTGAAATGTAAAGGATTGTGTGAAATTTAATCATTTCGACTACAATCCCCAGTATCGAACTGAATCGAATCGTATAGTATCATATCCTGGGAATTTCTGAGAAAAAATCGAACCGTTGGCTTAAGGAATCGATATTGTATCGTATGGCGAGGAAAGGTGTGATTCACACCCCTATTAGATAAATGGGCGTAAATTACGGGGAGGAAGGGGGGGTTGTAGCCCCCCCAATAAATCTAAACCAGCTAATACAATAATCATGTTTCCCCCGTAATGGGTGGAGACCTCAACTCCCCCAATGTTCCAGCCAAAGTTATGCCCTTGATTAGATACATTGGCAAAATCACGAGTTCAGGATTTTTTTTACTACTACCAGTAAAGAAAGAGACGTATAATTACTTTCTTTGTGTTTAATTTTGTATCACATCATTTATGTGAACCATATATATGAAATGGTTCAATCGACTTCGTTGTACCTAAGGGGAAACCCCCATATGTGAATTTTTATTGTAAAAGCTTTATTGGATAAATTACCGCAGCATATATCTAGTTTGCTGACATATTGCCCCAGTAGCTATAATACTAGATCATCGAAGATAATTCTTCTTCTGGTTCCAACCATCCGAACAGAAGTGGGCAAAGCTGCCTTTTCTTTTCATGCGCCGAAAGCTTGGAATGAGGTTTGATAGGTTTAAAAGTATTTTAAAATCACTTGTCATAGAACAGGTGCAGTAGTTTATTTTAACGTTTGTTATTCACTTCCATGCCTCTTAACCCCTGATCTGTGTATGCTAATATGTATGAATGTATTTTATTTCCAATGACACATTTTAGCTCCTGCTCATTGAATATATTGAATATTGTGTTTTTGTTTCAACATGTTTTGTGGTGCCGTTTCCGTTTGTACTTATATGTAAACTTTTATTTTGCTGCCCATGTTGACCAGGCTTCCCTGGAAGGAGAAACATTGTATCTCAGGGGAACTTTCCTGGTTAAATAAAGGATAAATAAAAACCATGGACGTGCGTGTGTGGATTCTGTTTATATTACATTGTGGGGACCAAATGTTCCCCACAATGTAATAAAAACCTATTATTTGGACACTGTATAGGGACCATTTCAGGTCCCCACAAAGATCTAAAGAAATAAAAAAACAAACAAAAAAATGTTTAGTTACTTATGGTTAAGGTTAGGGCTGGGTAGGAGTTAAGGGCGTCATGTCAGTTTTCCCCATAGAAATAAATGGAGAGCCCTCACAAAGATATAAATACAAACCTCTGTGTGTGTGTGTGTGTGTGTGTGTGTGAGAGAGAGAGAGAGAGAGAGAGAGAGAGAGAGAATACGGTCTTTTGGTTCCAGTTAGCTAACTCTTAATAAAATAAACTCTGAATTCAACATTTGCAGATAATTAAATCAGAAGCTAGTGATCTATTAGGTTTTTTACGGTATAGGTTGTGTTACGTCTTCTGCCGCATCTCGCCCGGTTACTGTATTGTTCTCCCGAGCCACGGCTGTGTGGCTGCATTATTAAAGGCTGGTTATTATTTAAGGACCTGTCCCGTGTGTTAATCCAACCTCTGGAGAAGTCAAATACATTAACAGAAAAATGTTTCATTTTATTTCCAAAGTGCCCATTGTACTGTTTTATGCAGACTATGTTCGTATGTGCTCTCTATTATGCCTTAACAATATTAAGTCTCCAGTTTCGTGAAATACACGTGCTCTCTGTGCAGCTCTCTGTGCAGCGGAGCCCAGCAAAAAAACACATGAATGCGCGCGGCGATGACGTCAAAGGGCGTGTCATGGTCCAAATACAAGCGCTCTGCTGAATTGGCCATTTCTGGTGGAAAAGCTATACCATAGTTGAAAAATTGAAAGCTCGTGAAAATATCACGAAGCTTGCTTGGTTTTCCGTTAATTCCTATGATCGCAGAATCGCAAAATCCAGGAGTGACTGAATAACACGAAGGCAGACGGCCAGGTGTGGTGTCTCCTTTGTCCGCCAGAGGTAGACAAAGGCCACTTTTTAAGATTCTTTTTGCTGAACGTCAGAATTTGTTGTATCTGTGCCGTGTATCCACACTGACTACAAGACTATTTATACACTCAGATCTCAGAGTGAATTACTGTCTTTATTCTGGTCCTTGGTTTTGAAGATTCGTAAAATTTGATTCTATTGTATCAACAAAAATACACTTTAAAAAATCTCACAGAGAGGAAAAAATGAACATTGACTGCAATGATCTCTGGGTTTAAACAGAATGAAATAAAGATGGATAATGGCACAGAAAAATTCTTAAAAGGGGTGGTGAACTTAGCTTTACTTTCTGTACGGTAAGATGCACATTAATTACTGAAATTATTTGGTCATATCAGCAAATTAAAATTGTCCTTAAGATATCTAATGGTACCTTGAAAAGGCCTGGATTTGAATGCAGTGGGTCTAAGTGACAGAGTGAAAGAAACATGCTGAACTTTAACCCCAGGACTGCAGGGACCTTATTTATAGGGCGACAGCTTAATTCTGAGCCAGAGAAAATGTAAATGACTGTATTTAGATCCTGCAATAAGTAAAAAGTGTGTTATTAGGTCATGTCTTCCGGGGTGTAGATCTGAAGTCTTTATGAGGAGGGCACTGGGAATCCGGCAGCAAGCTGTGGGCATGGCATGGGGCTTCAGCACCAGTGCATTCCTCACAATCACAGGCCTGTTAGCTGAGCCACAGAATTCACAGGCTGTGTCAGACAAACTTTTGAACTCCAAATCTTAGAAATCAGCTCTGACTAATGCAAGGTGAAACTGATTGAGAGTCAGCTTCTGATTGGTCAGTGCCATTTCCTGTGGCTCTCCCTGTTTAATGCAATGAAGTGGCTTCTAACCCATTAAGCGGCAGTGATTCTGGCATGTCTCACGTGTATCAGGCTATACCCAATGCTGCCCGTTCTCTCCGGAGACAGCATTAGAAGCTGGCTCGTGGCGGAAGGACTCATCCTGGCCCGCTCTGATTTCAGTGCTGTCTCCATTATCGGAATGATCATCCATAACACAGAGTTACCGTCTAGCGACTGGGCTTTTTACGGGATGCAGAGCCCTCAGAGCTGAGGCCCGGCAGGGCTGGCCTGGTGTGGAAATGCTGCCGTACCTCCATCCCATAGACCACAAAGTCCAGGCCTGGGCTTTTAGGTCTAGACCTGTTTTTTGGTGGTCAGCTTCGATTCTCCGTTTCATGCATCATAATTCTGTATATTTTTATGCATCTTCTGCTTCATTCTCATATGCATCAATAAAAAAGATGGACTTATAACAGCATATTTAAAAGGTTTTTATTATTTTATATGAATACATGGGAAACAAAGTTATACATTTTTAATTATAGAACCATTCTGGACATACAAGAATTGTTTGTCAGCGTAGCACTTAAAAGATGCACGTCCCCACACTGCCTCCTGGTGTCCGAGGGGAGTAACAATCAGCACTGATTAATAATTACAGCAGGACAAGCTGCTGATGGCTGCCATCGCCCCCCATCCCCCTGAGTGCTACTGACCCAGATCAGGTTGACCTACATCACTTCTTCCAGTGTCCCTGGGCTGGGTGGGGGCCGAAAGACATAGAGAGATGATGGCTGGGGTCTGTCCCACGCTTCACCTGCCAAAAGCCCCCCCCAACAGCCAGAACGAAAACAAGGCAAGTGCATAAACAACCATCCGGACATACAGTAAGAAAACACTCTAGCTAGGTTCACGCTAAGGTTTGCCCCTGTATGATTGGATGGAGTGTCATATAGCGTTAGTTATCAGGTACAAATGATTACTTCAGATTAAGGAAAGCTTATCATGCCAGCAGTTTGCTTGTGTTTAGATACACTTCCTTTATATGCGTCACGCGTAACTGAGGACGAGGAGCCAGTTGATATTGATGCTCAGCTGAATACTGAAATGAAACACTGAAGGTCTTAAAGCCTCTGTAACCCCGAGGACACACTGCTAGGTGACTGGCGAGGAGCTCGGCGTCACAAAGCGGAGAAAAAAAGCTACGAGAGGGTCACGCGGACAGAGAAATAGGCGGGGGGGGGGGGTGACTCGACTGACCGCAGGCGGTTCTCTTTGCACGGCACGTCACAAACACGAAAAAGGGCAGCTGGGCTGAATTCCAGCTGCTTGGCAGTAAGTTTTCACACCATGTATGCACGTCTCTTCACGAGCTCCTCCTTCCTCGCCAGTTGAATTAGAAATCAGTATCTGAAAAAGAGGAGGGGGGAACACAGATTGCCGCAGCTATCGGTGAGGATGCAGTCACTGCTGTTTTGTTGCTCTAATTGGCGTGTTTGCCGCTGACCCGGAATAATTCGGCTGGAAGCAATCCTGACGTACATCAGCTCTCTCCTATAAACAGTCAGCTTGCATTTTACTCAGGAGCTGAAATAGTTTGTCAGTCCTGCTTTCCTCAGATTCTAAAAGACGCGTCACTCATTTTTCCACCCTGGGTCAGATAGATTTGATTAATGAATAATTCAGCTGTACCTTCTCGCTTACTGAACGCGGACAATCGCAGTCAGGGATTTTTGATGAGCTTTACTTTTCTTTTGGCTCTTGAAAACAAAACTATTTCTAGTAAGTTGTCCTGAGTAAATACAGAGCAGTTTTTCGTGTCGTTGAGTGCCATCCAAAACGCAGCCAGAGCAGCCTTCCTTGGCAATTCCAAGTCAAACCTTCTGACTGTACAGACTCCTTCAAAGAATGAAACTCTGCCGTTCCCATACAAATATCTCTTACTTCAATTCTTAAGTTCACTTAGGTAGTGCTTGTTGTTTCTAACATCAGCAACTAGCCAGAAATGCACAACTGAATGTTTACTATAGTTTGTAGGACGCTCTGCAGAAGAGACAGCTGTATTATTCCGCATATCAAAGAGGAACAAGCAATATTTTTTTTGTTTTCTTGGTGGCTGTGGTGTACGAGTCTGTATCAGTCAAAGATTTTGTTTGTCTCATAAAAGCAAATATCTCCCAAATGGGCTTTTGCTGTGTGGAGTGATGTGATTATTCAAAGGTCCAACTAATTAACCCTCCATTTCAGTAGGGAAGCGACTTCTCAGGCCCCAGACCCACAATGTCTTGGAATTCCAGCGTTAGCGAATTGAGAGCTGGAATACAAGGGTCAAGACAAAGTAAGACACGACAGCAGGAGCAGCGAGACGGAGCCGCTTCGCATTACTGTACTCACTCCCGGAGCCCCTCAGACGTCTTTGGCTGTTCACACAAAATTACATGCAAAGACCTTGCCGGCATCGAGTCCTTTCTCGCTCAGGGGTGTTAATCATATTGGCAGTCAGTAAAAAAGCAAATCACAGGGAGGAAGAGAAGGCTCACTGCACAGTGGGGGCATGTAGATGAGCTGGCAGGTGAGATGGCGGGATGTGAGAGCCAATGAGCTGGTTAGGCACACACACGATGGGCAGGGGGAGGCACACTCAGAAGGAAGTGCAAAATACCGTTTCTGTGCGAGATAATCACTTTTATTCCATTACTGGAGCACCCGGGTTCTCTCTATTTTCAGATGGGATGGCTAGGTAGTCTGTCCTGTGGGCAAACGGGCAAAAGAGAGAGGCAGAGCTAAGCAGGAGTGGGCCATGTGTGGAGCTCCACCTCCCGGGTTACGTGGTATTTGGGGACGTGCGGCACTCAGAGTGGACGCCGGAAGGGGTGGGTGTTCCCACTTCACATTGGGCTTGGGAACTTTATTGTGGTGTTGATCGAGCAAGGGGCCTGAGGAAGAACGTCCGTGACGGAACACACTCCGGACAGACCGAGATGCCAGGGGCAGCGCACATGGCACAGGAAGAGCGACGATGTTGGAAGGACGTGGGTCAAGACAGGTGCTGGCTTGCCTGCTGACACAGAACCTGAGTGTTGGGCTGCTTCCCAAGGCCTACGGGATCGTCCTTGTATCCTTTTAGATTGGCCATGGACAGATTTAACCTGAACAGAAGCTTCTAGACATAAATGTGTGTAATGGAGCCTAGTTTGGTTCCACCTGTGTCTCCCACAATAAGAGTCTACTCATCCTGACTGCTGTGTGGTTGTATATCTGTCAGTAAAAGGTGTTTTATAGCAGACAGGAAACACCTTTTAATGTCTAGTGGTTTACATAGTCATGAACCATCACTTCCATTTGCTGGACATGCAGCAGAATATTAAAATAGTGGTGTTTAACTGGAAAGGCTATCAACAAAGCTATTATGTACATTACTGTATCCTAGATGGTGCTTCTATGTCCTCCCGCGCTGCCTGAAATGGGCCTCCAGCCAGGCCATCCTTCATAACTAAATCCTCTTTGTGAGATGTTCTCTCAGGTGTCTCTACTCCCCACCACATCCGGACCAAAAACAATTTCTTAACGAGTGACCATCAGCGGATCGGGTTGAGCGGACTTCGGAAAACTCACGCGTTGTCCTGCGTCTGCTCGTCGGATTTCGATATCTTCCTGTAGCAGTAGATCATCTCCACCAACAGCCAGAAGGTTAGGAAGACCAGGAGGACATACATCATGATCTCGGAGTACAAAGCAGTAGTGTCTTGGCTAGCTGCCCAACAACAAGACGTGGCAAACCAAAGTCAACGACTGCTTGCAGAACTCCTGTCTTCAGTTTGACAATATAAGGGGACCTTCCCAACTAAGGGATGACTGCAAGACCTGGTGGCCTTCAGTCTTGTAGTAAGTGGAATTCGTAAATCAGTAAACTGTTGGAAAGCCATTGCATGGCTGTTCCTCTATCCATAGATATCTTGTAAATCATGCAATTTCTCACATAACATCATGCTCTGCAATGAAGGCTAAACAGCTTGTTTTTTATACACTTACCTGCTTTACATTGCTATTATTAAGCATGTATTAAACAGTTTTATTACCCATTTCTAATCCAGGATTGGTCAAGCACTGAGCTGTAGGGTTTAAAAGATAGTATCCTTGTTACTAGGCTATGTAGGGATAGATTACCTGGGTGTGTCGAGGGGAAAATGTGAAGTAAAAACACTGAAATGACTTGAGTAGAAAGTAGAGAACCATTCCGGAACATTCAGCGTTAAAGTGGCGTCCCTTTAACCAGAAGGACTGCCCGTTACGTCAGCTGTCCTGTTTTCTCTCTCTGTGCCAATCGTAACTCTTTGGGTGTCGTTTAAGCAGTTGGGTGACACCAAGGGGCAGAACCCAACAGGGGACAATGACTGATTGGCTTATCCTGTCTTCCCAACTGCAGAGACATATGGTTGGGCACTGCTGGGGCAGCTTTCAGGAAGTGGAAGCAAAACCATTTGCCTACCAGCATCTTCACTGTGCTTAAAGGTCAGGACCATGGTCCTCATCTTGCAAAGTATTCCATAGCCCCACAAAGCTGGGACCATCTGGATGGTATTTAGGCTTAAATTCACACTGATACAGCAGAGAGGAGCACTTACAGCTGAACGGGACACGGTCCGCATGCCACATGTCCTTATGAGCGATTTTTTTTGGCACATGCTCGAGAAATATTTAGCTGTGAGCTCTCCAATCAGCATTCCTCGCATAAGGGAGCGTTGCACAATTTTTTTTCAGCAATGAATTTGGGAGTGGACCAAGAAGGTCCAGCTTTGCGTGAGACTGACCAAAAAAAATCATTGTATTCATTCAAATGTGTGACATGCACTGTGCATTCATCGGCTGAAAGGGCAGCCGGTGTGCAGTTAGAGGTAGTAAGTGGGTGACAATGCATTTAAATACTGCAGCAGAGGCTCCCTGGACCCCCCCCCCCCCCCCACCTCCCTGAAGCTGAACTGACCAATTGGTATGTCAGGTTTGAGTCAGCTGACCTCGATATACCTGTTTATTTTCCCTGAAGACTGACTTCACCGCCATCATAATTTCAGAACTAGTACTGGGCTGTCAATGGATAATTCTAGGAAATACTCATCAATTAGTCTAATAACGAGCAAAATATTCCTCCTCAGAAATTAATATTTAACAAAAGATTTATCCATCTTTCCATCATTCTTATTCGCTCCGTCTTGTCTCTACCTCTCCCTATCTCCCGCTACTCCTCTTCCTGTCATTGCTTCTCTCTGGCTTGCTTTCACTCTCTCACTCCATCCCCTTTTCAGTCACTCTTGCACATACATAACCCCTTACAGCATAATAAGAGCCATAGCCCTGAATGACCTGCAGATATACATACTGGCAGAGGTGCCCCTGATTACTCCTGGTTGCTACAATAGATAGACGGTTAGTCTACTGGGATTAGTGTGACCACAGGGGTTCTCGAGTTGACCATACCCCTCCCCTCACTCTCACACCCAAGCCCTGCGTCTGCACCACACCCCAGTGAGATCACACGCTGCATGGCAGATGGGTCACCACCTTAAGCACCAGCGTTAATTGGCATCCGACGTGATTATGACTTCAAAGTGAAGCCACAGTGTTAGAAATCTCAGTGCCCCCCGGGGTGTAAGAGGGAACACTGGCATTCCCTGTGTGTGCTTCAATTAGTCCACTTGTTGTTCTAGCGGCAGGTTCTGGTGCTCTCTGACCTCTGACCTATAATCAGGCTTGGAGAACCTCTGTGCTTCGTTCAGGTGTCAAACTCTGTAGCACAAAGACCATAAAATTATTTGAATTTGCTTCTATTTTTTAATTTATACTGGTTATTATTATTATTATTTATTTCCATTCATTAACCAAATCCAATAGTTGTGGACCTAGTTAATAAGGGATTTGATTTTGTTTGTTTTTACCAGTTAAAGACCCCAGATGCATTAGCCAGTGGGCCATTATACCATTACGGCCAATTTACAAGCCTCAAGAGCCCGAGAGTCTGACACCCCTATGACTGGAGATGCTGTAAATGGCTCTTAAGATCTGTGACGTAAGAGAACTGAAACCATCAGGCTGTGATATCTGTCATCCATGAGAAAATGCATATAACCCTACAGCACGACACAACTGGCGTGGTCTTCCTGCCCAGCTGGTGCCAGGAAGCCGATGGAGTTGCCATGGATCAGCGATTTCAAATATACACGTAGGGTGGTATATTCGATCAAGCCAACGGAGAGGTTACAAGAAGCAGTCACCAAGACAGGCATTCAGAGAGATGAAGTCAACTGCAATGTGTACATTACCGCGTTAAAAATACAATCGGGGGTGAAGGACATGTAAACTCTCCAGCCCACCAAAAAAAAAAAAATCTCCATTTAGCAGTAAGCTTCAACGACAACAAAACAAAAACAGACAATTATTCAAACAATACAAGATGAGAAATATTTCCATAACAGCTAAATGATCTTTAAAAGAATCAAGTATCTATGTCTGTACAGTAATAATGTTGTGAATTAACAGTGTTGTAGAAGAACTTTAGTATTATGTAAAGGAAAGAGACAACATACATGTGAAATAGCATTAAAACACACAAAACTGCACTAATCTCTACGTTGCTCACCTTTCTCTCTCACCTCCAGCTTGATTGTCTTACTTTTCGTGAAGGAGGGCATGTAGAAGTCAAACACAAACTGCCGCAGCACTTCACATTTGTAGATGCCTGAGTCGTTGAGTGTGACGTTGGTGATGCTGATGGACACATCCTGGAGGTCCTTGCTTCCGTTCCATGCCAGGCGGCCCTTCCATGGGGTGTCCAGCTCCTGAGGCCGTCCGTCATATTGTAAGATCTGCCGATCACGCGCATGGGCATTCGTCACGGTGACCTCATCCACCCCGACGCCTGGGGTACGCCCTTTTCGAAACTGCGGTGTGCATTTCAGCGGGATCCCACAGATGCGGAGACACCCACCTGGATCGGCTCATCATCAGGCTTGATGTAGTACCAGGAGACATACGTTGCAGTGTTCACCTCCTCTCTCCTCAAGCAGGAGATGCACGTGAGCTTCATGGAGGTGCCAACAACGGCCTCCGTTCCTGATGGCACCTCGACGCACACGGGCCTGCAGAACTGCACTGGGGACATGCCCATCGGCCACAGTGAACAGTGAGTCCAGCTCTTTCTCCTGCCTCTAATCTCCCTGCTTTACTTTCCCTCCCTTCCTTCTTATTTTCATGTTCCTCCTCTTTGTACTTCACATGCTCTGTGCTCTGCTCGGCTGCCTCATTTACATACCCATCTCTGAGTCAAACACGCTACTGTCCCCTACATTGGGTTCATACATAGTTTTACAGAAACAAAATGGCGTAACTCACACCCTTGATACAGGCTGAACCCTGGACCACATCACTATCTAAGATGGTGTAACTCACGCCCTAGATATAGGCTGAACCCGTGACCACATCCTCATCTAAAATGGTATAACTCACACCCTGGATATAGGCTGAACCGGTGACCACATACCCATCTAAAATGGTATAACTCACGCCCTGGATACAGACTGAACCCGTGACCACATCCCCATCTAAAATGGTATAACTCACACCCTGGATATAGGCTGAACACGTGACCACATCCCCATCTAAGATGGTGTAACTCACACCCTGGATATAGGCTGAACCCGTGACCACATCCCCATCTAAGATGGTGTAACTCACACCCTGGATATAGGCTGAACTCATGACCACATCCCCATCTAAATGGTGTAACTCACGCCCTGGATATAGGCTGAACTTGTGACCACATCCCCATCCGACTCTACTTTATACTCAGCCGATCCATTAAATTAAAATGAATGCTGAGTCATTTGATTTTAATTAGCTGTATTTGTATCAGTCAGGACTGATCAGATAACTTTTATTCATATTTTTAAGATAATTAATTTAAATTACGCTTGTGAAAATTATACTTTTTATAAATTGCGGATGTCAAGTATACTTCGCCATCATCCATTTTGTTATTTATTTTGTTAAATATTATAGGCCTAAATGCCATTAAAATTTGTACTATGGGAATATTTAAAATTATAACTATAAGGAAAGATAAAATTCTGTCACCTGTAGCATGACTATAATGATACATTATGATTACATTCATTAGCTAGTTACAAGATGTCAAAAATTAGTATGTTGACTGGTGGAGGTGCGACAAGATTCCAAGCAGGGATAAGATTGCTGTAGAAAACGCTGAGTATATACGTATGTCTCTGCTAGTGACTTTTAAACCGCTGGTTGTCATCTATTAGGGATTCTAACAAAGTACTATGTGACTTGCCAGATACCGAAGTGCACTTTTGCTTTCCGTGTTTAATGCTTTTATTTCTTATCAGAGCATAGTTTGTTGCTGTATATTTTCTGTAAGTGAGCATTATAAATGTGTATTTGAAACCACCTGTTGACAAATTAAAGTGTAAAGCATTGTCTATACACAAAAAAGTAAGAGTCTTAAATTATACCATAAAACCGATATGCAACATAATGGGTGGTAGGATAAGTTATCTGTAAATATTTTTGAAAACATTATCAAAATTGCCTTTAAACGACAGTGAAACAGTGAAACAGCCTAAATAACTGTCGGTTATATATTCGTATAAAAATAAGTCCGATGTTTCACTGATTCCGGGTTAAACTGACAAACTGTGTTTCCTTCGCCTTGTTTCATGCATTTCAGACGGGATTTCGTTTCAGTGAGTCCTTACAGCCTGCTTTTTGATGTAATACCACATACAGTATGTAACTTAAGCAACTATATAATTTAATCCTTCATAATTTCTAACAAAATTTCAGGTGATTTAGATTCAGAAAGGACAGTGTGTTTGTTTCTATAAATAAAGACTGTGTACGTGAGCAGTTTAAACTTCTACGTCATTCATTTTCATTTTTTATCACTTAGATGTGCTAAGATACGTACATGCATTGAGTTCTGTGACCAACGCTATTTTTCTGTGGATTTAATACATTTAAAATAATTTTCTTAAACCGCAATTTTAACGTGCATTATTCGTAACTCAATCCAAAAAAGCAGACAGATGCAAAAAAAAGACCAATACAAATATAAAGCTTTGCTAAGTGGAAGGAAACTAAATCTATACATTAAGGAACCTAATATCAGTGACCACGCCTCCCATGAGTATAAAGTAAACATACTAAAAGTTCAGGAAGAATAATTGTTTTTCTTTTCTTTTTAAAAAAAAACGGTATATGGCACATGTTATAGCATATGATCAGAGCTTTATGAACAAAGCACTTACCCGCTAAGATCAACACGACGAGAGCGCACAAGACAGCCCTGGTCTCTGTCATTTTCACGGATCTGCTGGGAAAGAAGCGTCGCGGTCAGACTCTCCCTGTTTGCGGAATAAGAAGCGCAAAAGCTGATCTCTCGGCTGCAGGTTCTGTGGTCCCTGCTTATGGACGATACGTCTGACTGTAAAACTGGGCTTTCGTTAAAATATTTGCTTAACAGTCGTCTGAAAAAGTCTCATCAAATCAACAGGAGAGCGCAATTTCTTCCTCAGCACCACGGAGAGCGCCTCCAGCCGCTCGTTACTTGTTGGAAAAATAAAAATAACTTAAAAGTACCAGTTCGGGAGACTTCTATTCTTCTACTCTATTTTTAAATCAGAGTGGTACTATGCCATCATTATTTAAAATAAAGCCATCGTTCACTGACGAATCAAAATCACCGTTTTTCCTTTCATTAGAATTTTGCAATAAATTCGCCAGTGCAGTACTTCTATTTTCATAGCCGTTTTTTCAGGTTATATTGGCACACTGTTTCCATGGCGAATGGAAAAACTAGATCTATGCACTTCAAGTGCGCAATAGCAATTAGAAATGTAGTGATTATGGAGAATAGAGCACTCGCGTTCAAACTGACCAAAAGCCGATCTCCGTTAATGAAAACAAAAAGATTTATTTAGAAATAATGTAGAATAATGAGCAAAAAAAAACACAGCTTCTATAAAATTTCATCAGTTTCAGTGAAAAAGAAAAACAAATCCGAAGAGTAAGTCTCCCGCTGAACAGTTCGCTCTTTGTCTCTGGCGTAAGCGCTCAGCCACTTAACGTGTGCAGAATGTTCTCCTTGTGCGCATGCGTCGCCGGCGCTGCCACTTGTACATGCTCCAAATGACAGACGCAGACCTATTGTTTTGCACAGAGGGATTCTTGTCTGTCTTTTCCTTCCTGTCTACTTAACTAATGTTTCTGGAAAAAAATTTAAGAGGGACGGCTGAAAATGCCAGTTCTTCTTAAGTTAATTGCTTCAAAAAGGAATTTGTATGCTATATAATATGTTTCTTTATAGTATTTATATAAAGAACTAAACGTAAGATGTTTTTCATTGGACATTGGCTATTTGAGTCGGAAACCTGTCCTCAGTAGTCAGTTAACTGCAAATAGTAATACTTAGATTTACAGAATAAATACCTCTCAGCTAAATATAATCACAGGAATCAGCAGGGATTCAAAACCTAAAAACTAACAGTTCTGTGCCATTGGATTCTGAGTGCTGTTACTGTAAGTCACGTGGATTTCTGCGTGGACCTGATCCTACATTGAAACAACAGAACCTAAATTACAGTTTAGGAAAGAAATGTTTAAAACAAAGCTTTGGTCTTAATGCTCATAAAATGAAATGGCATGTATAGATGAAAACTTTACATAACATGGCTTGCATGCTATATATATCTATAAATAGGAACAAAGCTGTAACATGTACAAATGGGTACTTCAGTTTGCACTTCACTTGTTTCTGACCATCCCACTGTTGCCTCATATGCATTTTAAACACTACATGATGAACTGGTGTTACTTGTGGGATGGTAGCTTTTAGCAAAGTGCTACTTATTGATTGTTGATGTGGTCAGTCTCCAGTTCTACCCAAACAGCTTTGGGATCTTCCATGGGGAAAACACTATTCAGTAGTGATCCAATCACGTCGCATGGCAGTGAGGGCATGAGTAAACAAGGGGCAGAGTGAAGGGGGGGGGGGCTGGGAATCATTTACAGTGCACCCCCCCCCCCCCCCCCCCCCCCCCGGTGGGGGCCCTGCAGAAGGGGGGTCTCCTTTTTTTCTTCCCGGGGTGGGGCCCCCCCCCCCCCCCCTTCCCAGGCGGATGGTTGCGTAACCCTGTTAGCGACAGAACAGGAGCAGCCTAAGTGCCTGAGCATTCACCATGACTCTGTAAGATCCACTCCCCTCAGGTCAGCAAGGTTTCACTATTGCCGTGAAGTGATGTACGTCGCATTTAACTGAACATCCATTTGAGACGGCAGATTTTGGATGCATTTATATGTCAGGCATGTAAATTTGAGGGCAAACTTCAGTGTGCATGCTGTCAGCGCTCAAGCTCAGGGGGTTCAGACACTCTGCTGATCGCAGGTTTGAAGGCCTGCATGGTGTCCCTGCTCCCACTTGCCTCTGTTTGTCCTGTTGTTTGTGCTCAGACTCTGATTCCTCACTGTTTTGTACGGTGGCGGCAGGTCTCCTGTGTAACCACACCCCAAGGCCATTTGAAATTCCCCCTTAATCCTGGGAATGTTAGGATGAATACAAGAAGGAATCCTGATGGATTATTCCTTCATTTTGAGGGTGGTTATATAATATTGATCTTATAGAAAACAAGCTAGCCTTGATGGAGACACGATGTATTGTTTGATATTAGTATGTTTTGTGTGGCTATTATGAACAGGGAAAAGCATGAATTATAAGGAGGGGGTGGTCAGGATGCCCCTACTCTGCTAGCCGGGCCGTAAGCCATGTCCCTGGTGGCCACCGTGTCCAGAAGCTGAGGGCTCCATGGCAACCGCACCGTGCAGTGACAGGTGGATTAGACCCAAACAGGACTGAGGCCCCGGACTGAGGCAGGCAGGAGGGCAGAACAACACGCTCGCAGAGAGCGAGCCTGCTGGAAGGGCTTCGCCGCCGTGCTCGGAGACGTGTGGGCGTGCAAACGCTTAGGAGGGTGAAGCGAGAATTGGGGGGGCTCATCTGGTGTCTGCTCTACATATATGACCAAGAGAGAGTGAGATAAACAAAGCAGGGTGTCTTGGACACATTGAGCTCCTCCTTAGGAAGTGGACCCTATGGACAAGGATCTAAAATTAACCTCTGAATCACCACTCCCTGCAGTCATAAGGCTTTGGGTAATTGCATTTGATGCTTTTCTAAGTTACTGCAGCATAATGTAATGCAGTTGGTAGCACTACATACATTTACAACAAAAATGAAGGTTGATGGGGAACAGTGCGCCCATATGCCAAGAAAACCGATTTCCCATTGTTGTGTGGAATGTAATGACGCAAGAGCCAATTATTGTGATGTAAGAGTCTTTTGTGATGATGTAAGAGCCTTCTCTAGTGATGTAAGTGCCATTCGTGGCGTGCACAGCGTAGAATGTGATGATGTAAACCGCAGCAAAGCGTGTTTGCTCAGAGTGTTTGAGAGTTTACTCAGGTTGCCGTGTCAGCAGTCAGAAAAGAGCAGGCATATTGTCATCCCTTTCTGGATAATTGGAGGAACTGTAGCTCATTTGCCGAGCTACAGTATTGGGATGAACAGCACAGCCAATGTTGATTCAGTGACCAGTCACAAAACAGCACTATTAGGAAAAATTCTCATCAGTCTTGAAGAAACAACAAAATAACTTTGAATAATAAACAAGGTGGATTCCTGGTGCCGGTTGCTGCAGCTGTGAACTGTAGGGCAGTTATTTCAGCACCTGTGACACCCATATAGCGCACACAGCAATTTGGCCGCCCCCATAAGGGCACCTGTGAAGATGAAGGGGTGTTATTTTTACAGGAAGCAGTTTGTGAATCCACTGTAAATGGAAAGTTAGACCACCAGTGGGAATGAAAATAGATAGGAGGAACCTAGTCGATTCAAGTTAATAATGCCACATCATTTCATTGCCTTCCATTAGTCGCTGGCCTGAATTAAATTATAATCCTTATCCAAGTATATGGGCCATTATGCAGGGACCTTTGGTCCTTATTGGAAGCTTGGTGAATCTCTTTCATCTGTTCCACCTTAATTCTTGTTACCACAGATAAAAAAAACTCTTAAAAGTGTTACACTAACTGCACGTTCTCAGAGAGCAAAGAAGCATCATCAATCATTCAGTCCAGGCTTGTATTCTCTGGATCCTGGGCAGATAAATACTTGCAATACTTGCATGGTTGCATCAGATCTTTTTTTAACAAACAATATGAAACTTAGGTAGCTTAACCACATATGTTAAATGTATACATTTTTTTTCCTACTAGCTGGTAGAGATAGTCAATTTAATGGCTGTTGCTTAAACACAATGCTATTCACTGAAGAAAAAGTTTAATTAACAGAAGGATGAGGCCTGCAGAAGTGACTGTGACAGATGCGTGAAGTCCTCACTCTGATCCGTCCCAGCCGGCGCGTTAACACACACCTCCCACCCTTTTCGTGCTGAAGGTGGTAAGACTCTGGGTATTCGAGTAAGAAAGCAAAACTGAAAGGCTGTGTACTGTCTGCCGCTGTGACGAGCAGGTCCCAGTGACAGGACACAGCGGGGAATGCAGTGTGAGACTCCAATGAAGGCAGGGCCACAACTACACAGGCATCCAGTGAAGTTAAAGCTATATACCAAGAATCAATATAGTGAAGTTAAAGCCATATACCCTGAATCTATATACTTGCTGTTATGTTTTTTTAAAGATGACTATTAATTTAGATAAAGGCTTCAGGGAACTGGAGGGATTATGGCAGCTCACTGCAGTAATGGCAAGATTACTGAATGATTTCAGCTTGGCTACAGCAAAGTTATAACACACACACACACACATATATATATATAGCATTAATGCGTCATAATTCCAGCATGATGACTGAAACACACTTACAGCATACCATGATTACTACACGTTAAAAACATAGTGTTTACTAAGTACAACACAGTTACAGCAAGGTTATAGCACAGTTACAACAGATATATGTATGGAATTGTGACGCATTGATATATATATATATATATATATATATATATGTGTATGTATATATCATATCATTAATATATATCATTAATGCGTCATAATTCCAGCATGATGACAAACAGCATAGCATGATAACTACACGTCAAAAACATAGTGTTTAGTAAGTTTAGTAACTAAGTACAACACAGTTACAACATTATAACTAAATAATCAAAGCAGTTACAGTATGTTTAGTAACTGCAAGAAAGTCCAACACAGTTCCAGCATGATTACTAAATAATTACTGAGCAGTTGCAGTGTGATCACTAAACAATCACAAAACAATCTCTGCATGATTAAATCAAAACTCCTCTGGTGAAAAGTGATTACACACTCTCCATGCGATAGTTTAATGAAAAAAACTCCTGAACGTCACAAGCATCCCTCATTGGAGCAGTGTTAATGGTGGCCGGGGGGTTGAAGTGTTTAGGCCCCACCAGACTGAGGTCTATGGTGATAAAGGTGTGCAGCATGTCTTACCCCCATACATATCAGACTGAGCCATACAGAAATGTTGTAAATGTAGTGTTCCTGAAATGTGCTGCATACTGTTTTGGAATCAGTATTTTTAGAATTATAAATAAGCAAGAATTATGCATATGCAAGGCTATATGACTGTTAATGGATAAAGCATAATACAGTCATGCATATGAAATCTGCAATACACTTTGTATGCATGTTAATTTGAAGTCTGTTTTATAAAAGTGAACCTTAATTGTGATATACGTTCAGTGGGCAGTTCATTACATACACCTGCTCCTCTATCCAGCAAATCATGTGGCTGCAGCAGAATGTATAAAGCAAACAGACAGGGTCAAGAGGTTCCATTACTGTTCAGCTGAGCTGGGACACCTGATCTAAGTTATTCTGAGCATGATGTGATTGTTAGTGCTCAGTGTGGTAGCTCAAGAATGTCAGAGACAGCCACTCTACCAGGGACTGTCATGCACTACAGTGTCAAGAGTTACCAGAGAAGAGAGTGATGAACGAAATAGATCCAGTCAATGGCATTTCTGTGGTTGAAAACACCTTGTTAACGAGAGAGGTCAGAGAAGAATAGCCAGACTTGTTAAAGCTAACAGGAAGGCCACAAGTGCAAAAATAGCAGCTGAGTACTACAGT